GATAAAATTACTTTTATCTGTTCGAGATCGATTAAGACTTCCAACGCGTTCACAACTGACGCTTATTGTAAGTTAATGTCATAAAAGGTAACATATATTTGGAAAATACCATGCACATTTGGTTTCCGCAAAGCAGTAGTCCCAGCTGTACTACAGCTAGCATTAAAATTGCCCGTCTGTAGGCTGCTTTTTATTCAAAAACATTAAACGCCAAACGTGATCTAACTGTATCAAAGGCCAATTTTCAGTATGAGGTGCTTTCTCAAGGACTACCGCCCATTGGCATAAAGTCGTTTTCTTTTACGTAAATTTAAGTGAATCCGATGTTCTGTTGCTGAAGCCCGCAGATAAAGTACCCCATAACCATATTTATGCACGCTTTTCCGCAAAGCAGTCAAGCGGCCATAGCCTCATCCATCGCCGACAGCCAACCTTGACGTAGGAATAGCCGGATAGGTCCTTGATGATGATTTTATCCTGCAACATTAATGGGCTGAAGAACGCCCAGAGCGCGCCTGTCCAAAATATTAAACATATAGCATAAATATGCAGATTTTCGACTGCATTATCTCCACGTGAGACATTATTATCGAAGTTTTCATTCCGACTGCCGTAGATTAAAAAAAACATCCTTAGACGGCGAAGGTTAAACCATCGAATAGTCGAGCACTATTTTGCTTTCAAAAGTTCACACAGAGAAAATTATTTTTTTTCCAACGTTTCATGCAGCGGTCTTGATCATCAAAAAATAGACTGGATCAGCATCCATGAAAGGATCTGCTCAACCTTGGCTGGATTACGGAGACCCATTTCCTTCATAGCTTCTGAGGATGAAAGACGAAAGAAAAAGGAGGAAACTTTGCAACTGCAGGTAAGGAGTTATCCTTTTTATTGCATGAAAATTTATTCTTTGCAGACATGCTCTAAACTTTAAGCTTATATACCATTTTTCGAAACATATTTCCTTTTTTCTTAAAAGGATGCCTAGTAATTTGCATAAATATGGTAGGTGTTAATTTAATTTTTAAACACTATGACACCAAAAATATCGTTTACTTAGCCGAACCCAACAGGGTGCATTTAGGTATGCTAAAGTCATCTAGGAAATAAGCTCTACTACTTAATAAAATTAGAAATTGAACGCGTTTTCAATTTGTAGATACAAATGGTCGATCTTACGCAAATGATTGGTCAAAAGCTCCTATTTCAAGGAAAGCCAGAGGAAGCAGTCCCGGCAGCTCTTCAATGTTTGAAGTTTACCGTGGACGCATACGGACTTGCTAGTGTGGAGTTGGTAACACCCTACCTCATTTTGGCGGAATCGAGTATAGGTAACGACTATTGTTTCGAATACCCTGGTAACTTAGGAAACCTGGAGTGAATCTAAGCATCAAAGTAAAATGAAATAAAGTTAGAGTAGGGAAAATTCCTTCATAGTTTTCTTGATGCCCATTACTTATTTTATGTTGTTCCATCACGATGCAGTCAAAATCATCATTTGGTCGAGACTGTGTGGTTAAAACATTATCCAGATAATCTGTGAGCCAAGTCACAAGTAGGGTAAGTAGGGTAGTCTGTTAGTAATGGAGTGAAAATCACTGTCACTTGCACGGAAATGAATAATTGTCATCAGAGGGGGGTGGGGGGAGGAACAAACAATCGCCACCTGGTGCTGGCGACTGTCACGGAAAGGAGAGCGCCTTTATTAGGGTCTTCTAACAGCACAGCACTGGATTCGCTAGCCATGTAGTCACTGCTACGGCTGTTGATGGCACTCGTTAACAAAGGCCTGTAGAATAATTAGCTGATATCCAGTACACAACCTTAAAGACCTTGTTGGGATCGAATTGGTGATTCGTATCGACTAGGTTGATGAAAATAGAACTCTCAATCGGTTTAATTGCACCTCCACCCATACAAGCCAGCCAGGGGGGTTTCTGTGCCTTTTTCTGCTTTCTCCATATTGATTATATATATTAGATGGACGAATACTTAATGCATCAACTTTTGAATTTTTAGTGAATACTACTCGCTTATAACAAACTTCACATGCGTAAACAGTGTGTATTTTTTACCTGGGAGCAATTCAATCACCAGTTCCAAAGCTACAGCAAAGATGCCTTCGTTTCCAGAGTATATCGCCTTTTTCAGGTTTCCTAAACAACCAACATATAAGGAAAGATCCCAAATATTCCTGTTTTCTGCCATAGTGGACGCTAAAAAAACTCATTAATAACTTTCGTTTTTTAAGAGAAGTCTACGAACTGAATTCAGCGGTCAGGGCGTAGATTTTGAATTTATTGGATAGTAATTAATGTGTGTGGCAGTTCGGTCGAGCCCAGTATAAAGCGTTACTTTGTTTCAAATTATAAGGTAGTTAGGATTATATTATGGTCAAGAGGAGTAGTGTTAAAAATAGGATGCGCGAAAAGTGTTTATCTTGCCACCATTTGTAGCACGGAAGGGTGGTGCCATATCTCTGTGTCCAGATGGTGGCTCTTGTTCACAACTTATAGGACGAATGGATACGATGGTTTATGTTTCAGGTGTCTGCATGAGCACCAGAACAGTTTGTCTATTATTCTGAGCTTTTGTCAGAGGTAGCAGCACTAACAAAGGACGGTAATTATTGGCGGGGGGGGCAAGCCAATCAATC